ATTCATCAGAGTTAACAGAGTGCTGGCCCATGTATTCTGTGCTAGATATATACTTTTATTCAATTATGGGTAAGAAAAGTTAGAACATGCTTCTACCAGAACCAGAACTGGAAGTTCAGTTTCTAAATAGTCATTAAGTTTGACTACCCCTTTATCTTTAAAAAATGTTGAAAACACAAAAGAAGAAATAAATATGTTTCCTCTTCTTTAGAATAATGAGTCATTTCCTACAGACTGTATCTGTATTTGCAGATCTCAAAACCAAAGGAACACATTTTCAAGGTGAAAACATTTGTTCATAAACAAACTGAAAGAAAAAGACCACATGATCATCTCATTAGATGCTGAAAAGGCCTTTGACAAACTACAACACCCCTTTAGGTTAAAAGTCTTGGACAGATCAGGAATTCAAGGCACATAGCTAAACACAATAAAAATAATATACAGCAAACCAACAGCCACTAAATGGAGAGAAACTTGAAGCAATCCCACTAAAATCAGGAACAAGACAAGGCTGCCCACTCTCTCCCTGTTTATCCAACATAGTCCGTGAAGTTCTAGCTGGAGCAATTAGCAACAAAAGGAGGTCAAAGGATACAAACCAGAAAGGAAGAAGTCAAGGCATCACTATTAGAAGATGATATGATAGTATACATAAGTGACCCCAAAAATTCTACCAGAGAACATCTACAGCTGATAAACAACTTCAGCAAAGTGGCTGGATATAAAATTTACTTAAATCAGTAGCCTTTCCTTTATACAAAGAATAAACAGGCTGAGAAAGAAATTACAGAAATGACAACCTTCACAATAGCCACAAATAATAGAAACATCTTGGTGTGACTCTAACCAAGCAAGTGAAATATCTGTATGACAAAAACTTCAAGTCTCTCAATAGAGAAATCGAAGAAGACATCAGAAAATGGAAAGATCTCCCATGCTCATGGATTGGTAGCATTAACATAGTAAAAAAGGACCATCTTTCAAAAAGCAATCTACAGATTCAGCAATCTCCGTCAAAATTCCAACTCAATTGCAATTCTCAACTTCATATGGAATAACAAAAAAAAAAAAAACCCAGGATAGCTAAAACAGTTCTCAACAATAAAAGAACTTCTGGGGGAATCACCATCCTGGACCTCAAGCTGTACTACAGAGCAATAGTGATAAAACCTGCATGGTATTGGTACAGAGACAGACAGGTTGATCAATGGAATAGAATTGAAGACCGGGAAGTAAACCCATACACCTATGGACACTTGATCTTTGGCAAAGAAGCCAAAATCATACAGTGAAAAAAAAAAGAAAGCATCTTCAAAACATTGTGCTGGTCTAACTGGTGGTCTGTATGTAGAAGAATGCAAAATTGATTCATATTTATCTCCTTGTACAAAGTTCAAGTCCAAGTAGATCAAGGACCTCAACATAAAACCAGATACACTGAATCTAATGAAGAGAAGGTAGGGAAAAGCCTCGAACCCACTGCCACAGGGGAAAGTTTCCTGGACAGATTACCAATGGCTTATGCTCTAAGATCAACAGTTGACAAGTGGGACCTCACAGAACTGAAAAGTTTCTATTAGGCAAAGGACACTGTCAGTATGACAAAACAGCAACGTACAGATTAGGAAAAGACCTTCACTAGCCCTACATCTGAGAGAGGGCTAATATCTAAAATATACAAAGAACTCAAGAAGTTAGACTCCAGGAAACCAAACAACGCAATTAAAAAAGAGAAGACAGAACTAAACAGAGAATTCTCAACTGAGGAAACTCGAATGGCTGAGAAGCACTTAAAGAAATATTCAACATCCTTAGTCATCAGGGAAATGCGTATCAAAACAACCCTGAGATTTCATCTCACACCAGTCAGAATGGCTAAGATCAAAAACTCAGGTGACAGCAGATGCTGGCAAGGATGTGGAGAAAAAGGAATACTCCTCCATTGCTGGTGAGACTGCAAGCTGGTTAAAAAAAAACTCTGTAAATCAGTCTGGGGTTCCTCAGAAAATTGGAAATAGTTCTACCTGAAGACCCAGCTATACCACTTCTGGACATATACCCAAAAGATGCTCCACTATACCACAGGGACACTTGCTCAACTATGTTCAGAGGATCCTTATTTGTAATAGCCAGAATTCTTCAAATGAAGAATGGATACAGAAAATGCGATTGGTTCATTTACACAATGGAATACTACTCAGCTATTAAAGATGAGGACATCTCATCTTTATGAGTTTTGCAGGCAAATGGATGGAACTAGAAAATATCATCCTATTGAGGTAACACAGACCCAAAACATGCTATATGCTTGCTGATAAATGGATATTCGCCAAAACGTTCAGAATACCCATAATACATCTCACAGACCATATAGGAAGCTTAACAAGAAGGAAGGCCCAAGTGTGGATACTTCAGTCCCATTTAAAAGGGGGAACAAAATAATCACCAAAGGCAGAGGAAGGCAGGGACCCTGGTGGGGACAGGGAAGGGGGAGGGAAAAAATGAGGCAGGTTCAGGTATGGGGGGATACAGGAAAGAGTAGCCCAAAGGGTCAGGAGAATGAATAGAAAGAGGTAGCAGTGGGAGGTGGGGGCAGGTGAAACCTCTAGAAATTTCCAGACACTAGGGATATGAGAGGCTCCCAGGACCCAGTGGGGATGACTTTAGCCAAAATCCCACTAGTGGGGAGATGGAGTGTAAAGAGAGGACCTCCAGTAGATAGACATGGCTCTCAGCTCAGGCATGGGGCCACCCACTCTTCTTCAAAATTCTTGACCCAGAATTATTTCTGTCTAAAGGAAATGCAGGGACAAAAAGGGAACAGAGATTGAAGGAAAAGCCATTCAGATACTGGCCAAATTTGGGATCCATCCCATCCATGTGCAGGCACCAAACCCTGACACTGTTACTGACACCATGTTGTTGTGCTTGCAGACAGGAGCCTAGCATGGCTGTCCTCTGAAGGGCTCTACCAGCAGCTGACTGATACAGATACAGATACTTACAGCCAACCATTGGACAACTAATACACACACACACACACACACACACACACACACACACACACACACACCGGGGCTCCCAGAGGCCAAACCACCAACCAAAGAGCATACCTGAGCTGGTCTGTGGCCCCCACTACATATGTAGCAGAGGACACCTTGTCTGGCCTCAGTGGGGAATGATGCACTTAATCCTGTAAAAACTTGATGCCCCAGGGAAGGAGGGGCTGCTAGCAGGTAGCCAGGTGAGTTAGGAGTGGGTGGCTGGGTGGAGGAGCACCCTCTCAGAAGCAAAGGGGAGGGAGGATGGGGTGAAGAACTCATGGAGAGGGGACCAGGAAGGGGAACAGCATTTGGAATGTAAATAAATAAAATAATGAAAATGACATAATTAACCCAGACATGATGCACACCTTTAGTTCCAGCACTCGGGAGGCAGAGGCAGGTGGCTCTTTGTGAATTTGAGTCCAGCCTGGTCTACAAAGTGAGTTCAAGTACAGCTAGAACTGTTAAACAGAGAAACCATGTATAGGCTGGAGAGAACACTCAGTGGTCAGTTAGCTCATGAGACAGAATACCTTCCAGCCTCCACAGGCCCCTGCATGTGTGCATACACAAGTATCACATATAGACACACACAATAACTAAAATCTTTCCTTCAAAAGCAGATAAACAATATATTTATAAACAAATTTAAATTTGTTTAAATGGTTAATAAAATACAAATAGAAAAGAATAGTATAATAAACAAAAACTACTGGTAACAAGTGAAGAAATGTGCCAAGAAAGAATGCTCTGTGACATTCCTGCTTCTACTTAAGGACCAATAAATGCACATGCATCAGGAAGAAAACCTACACACCATATAGACAAGGATTCTTTTTTGAAAGATGTTCTAATATTGGAGTCACCATGTAAAGTATAAAGGACCAGTAACAAAATGTTAAAATACATCAAAGGTACAACAGAGTTCAGTTCATATCCAAGCACCCTCAAAAATAAATTCTGCATAACAACTTAGATATGATATCAATGCCAAACAGAGCCCACATCAACCCTGCGCTGTCTACGTGTGTCTACTGGTGTATCCTCTTAGTGGAAGTCAAGAATGATTGGTTAGGAAGGGAGTAGGTCCAGATGGGTGGGACTGGGAGGAGCAGAGGCAGGGGAAACTGGAAACCAGGTGTATTGTGTGAGAGAAGAATCTATTTTCAATAAAAGGAAAATAAGATGATTGTCTGACCCTCTCCACCCAGTTGAGCAGATGAGAAGAAATGTCTCCTTCAAATGTAATTATGACATTGAAGAAAAATAACTAAAATCAATGAAACCCAGGTGGTAGACTTAACCTTGCTGTCTCAGAAATGAAAATAGACCACAATGAAACACAAAAATGACATGAGAAATTAGTAAATCCATATTAATTTAGAGTAGCGATGTGGAGAAGGATGGGAGAGCTGTGGTGCTCTACATGGTTAGTTAGTGTGGGAAAGACCTCAAGAGTGCAGAAGTAAGTGCTTCAGCTGAGGTGTCTCAAAAGCTCAGTACTTGTGAGACTTCAATAGCACCAGAATCCAAATCTGCTTAGTTCTGCATTTCTCTAGCCAACCAGGCAGACTTCTACTTTAAAAGAGTAGTGTGTACTTTATGCTTGGCTACTAGCTGGAGCAGACATCAAAGACCATGATATCTTAGAGCAGTGGTTCTCAGCTTTCCCAACGCTGTGATGCTTTAATACAGTTCCTCAGGTTGTGGTGACCCCCAACCATGAAATTATTTTGTTGCTACTTCACAACTGTAATTTTGCTGCTGTTATTAATTGTAATGTAAGTATCTGGTATGCAGGAGATCTGATATGCGACCTCAAAGGAGTCACCACCCACAGGTTGAGAACTGCTGCCTTAGATCTCCAGACATAAAGAAATGGTACTACAATTGGGGAAATCCTCATAGGAGTAGAAAAAATTATGTATTTATAGTCTTTATTTTTCTTTCTAGGTAACCATGATCGTGATGCAGCTACATGTAGGTATTGCTGTCTGTTATTTCTTAGACAAATTAGCAATGTTACATGAAATCTAGCTTTCTTCAATTGCCTCTTCTTTTTACAGATTACCAGTTCTGGTACCCGCCTTGGGAAATGCCCCGCCCAGTCGTGTGTAACCCAATGTGCTTATTTATCCTCTTCCTGAGACTGGCATCTTTGGCGTTATGTGTCCTCATTGTTCTGGTAATACAGTCCCGGTTTCCAGTTACTGTACTGGAAACTCCAATGCTAATGTCAGTAGAGGAGGGACTGCAAACTGAGGATGAAATCGTGATGGAGGAGGAAAAGGAGGGGGAGGGAGAAGAAGAGGTGCCGGAAGAAGATGAACTATAGGAAGAAGATAACCTCAGAGGAAGGAGAGGAAGAGATGCAGGAAGAAGATAACCCAATAGAAGCCAAACCCCAAAAGGAAAATAAAAAGACCCAAAACATTGAAAAATAGAATGCTGAACTTTAAGAACAAAATATATAAACCTCAATTATAATTTTTTTCATTCCTTTTCTATACTTATTTAACAAATTTAAATTGGAAAACAAAAACAGTATGAATGCAAGGCTTGCATTGTACATAAAACACTCAGCTTTTAAAGACCCAGAGAGCAGGGAATAAGAGCAGCAACAACAGAAAAAAAGCTGCCTTAAAATTTTATTATGGTATCTGATAAAAACAAGAAATAATTCATATTTCTGTCTTTGTGTAGAGTTTTTATATGAGCTTAAAAGTATCTGAAGTATTAAGTTAAATGAAATTGTCCATATAAGATGCTAAGGACCATTCTGAGTTTAGAATAGGTATTTGATAAATATTAGCTCGTTTTTATTATTACTGTTATAGTTATCGGTAGTGATTGTAATTTCCATGTGATATCAAAACATCAAATGTTTTTAATATTTTATATTTTATGTGTACTTGGAAAATAGTTAACTCAATACTAATGCCTCCTGTCAGAAGATAAATGGATAATTTCTACTCCATGGCCACTAATTCATCGAACTTTTTGTAATACTTGTCAAATAGGTCCAAGAAATGAAAAAAGATCACTCATTGTACGTAAGCAATATAGCTGCTTCTACATTTATATAATAAAGTAGATTTTAAATTATTACTTACAGTTACTCAGTATGTTAGTAGAAGTTGTGGGAAAAAATAAGTTGACATATGAATAGGAAAATTGATCAATTTGTTGAATAAAATGTTAGCCTGGCAAAATATACAAAATGGTATCAAATCTGTTCTTATAAAGTCTTATCATTTTTATATGTCCAGCATCACATTAAAAGCTTGTTCTACAGTCAGACAAATGACAATTACTCCCCCTCCCAAACAACAAACAAACAAACACAAGAACTACTAGCCTTTGACCTAAGCTTCTAGGGTCTTATTGTCTGTTTCATTTGCTTTGTTTTTCAAGAAATGTAAATTTTAGAAATTGATGTGCTTTCTATTATAAAGTCACCCGCTTTTATCCAGCATCCTGAGAGAAAAAGGGTTGGGTAGAGAAATAGAGACGCTTCTCTGCAGTGATCATATCGATTGATATTATCGTATATTTGTATTCCACTTGATAGGATCCCAAAGTGCCTCCACATTATTGTTTAACACTCTAAACCACTCTGTGCAGCAGTTATTGTTTGCTCTGAGACATCTGACATCAATAGCTGACTTTTCAAACAAGCAGTGAAGGAGCCCCTGGCCACCTGCCTTGTGGTACGGGTGAGCAGATGGGGTCCCTGGCCACCTGCCTTGTGGTACGGGTGAGCAGATGGGGTCAGTTTGAATGCCGCAGAAGCAGAAAAGCAAAGCGATACCGAAACGAGCCATCCCTTTTTGAGACAAAGCCTTCACAATCTAAGGCAGTCTTGGGTCAATCAGTCCCTGATGGACTAACCCAGACAAGCCATAAGGGCCTCCTGCTTATCGTAGCTGAGGGCCTTGTGAATATCAAGGACAGGGAACAGTAGAAGAAGGGTGGGTATTTCTAAAGGAACTAGGTACTGGGAAGCGGTATATGATGACCAGGTCACGGGCCTGGGCAGTACTGTATTTACAGGAGACTTAAGAAAGGAATTGATTAAACCAGGACTGTGAGACTGGTATAGACCACTGGTGGCAGTCAGCTACGGAGACCTGTTTGAGGTAATCCAATCCAACCATTTTGGGTCAGCAAGTAAAATGTAATGCACAGGGTCCTAGGGGAGCCAGAGGAGCCATGAGAGGAGAGGAAATCGGCCAACGTACCTTTCCACATTTTCCAAATACAGATGTGGCTGAACTCGCCCCTAGCCAGAGTCCCTAAGGACAAGTCTGATGGGCAACTGAGCACTTGGTCAGCCCGTGGAAGGCTTTAAGGCCAGACCAGCAATTCGATCTAATAGCGGAACAGGTGACCAATAGGTGAAGGTAATGCCCCCTGCACTCCCTGCTAAGGAAGGTCTCTCAGAATGAGAACCTTCCTAGCTACTCCCCTGCAGAGGTGGCCAAGGTTGTCTGTCATTTTTCAACTTGTTTGATAAACTGACATTTCTAGGGATCAATGGGCCTTAAAGTGCCCCACCCAGGATTCTGTCCACACTGCCACTCTTCATTTTGGGGTAGCACAGGACTTTATATCATGTTATACCCAGCCTCTGTATGAACATCTTCTTACACGTGGGTAGCATAACACTAAACTCTGAGCGTTTTGCTGATTTGGAGACTAGATTAAGAGACAGGTGATTGCATCAGAAGACAGCATGAGGACTTAAATCCCAAGGGGTGCAGAAGGTCGGGTGTTTTGATATTCCTGGTCAGAAAGACCCATCAAGAATAACCATCAAGAATAACGGGGGTGGGGGGGGGAGAGTAGGCAGTAGACTGTGCCTGCATTTGTTAAAGACTATCTAAAAGGTAACAACAGATGCTCCTAGACGCCACAGAGGTGATTATGTGGCCTGGTAGCTGGTTTTAATGTCAACTTGATACAACCTAGATCCATCTGAGAAGAGGGAACATCAATTGAGAACATACTCCCATAAGATCCGGCTGTAGGGCACTTTCTTAATTAGTGACTGATGGGGGAGGGCCTAGCCCATGGTGGGTGGTCCTGACTTCTATTAGAATGCAGGCTGAGCAAGCCCTCAGGGTCCAAGCCAGTCAGCAGAACTCCTCCATGGCCTCCACTCCTGCCTCCAGGTTCCTGCTCTGATTTTCTTCGATGTTGAATAGTGCTGTGGAATTGTAAGCAAAGCAAACCCTTTCCTCCTCAAGTCAGTTTTGGTCACGATGTTTCATCGAATCAATAGTCACCCTAACTAAGACGATTGATAACCTCGGTGCTAGGATACCGGGTGCTTTCCTCATGGGTTTTGGTTACAGAGGCCTTAAAGACCACTGAAACAAAGGCCACGGTTGTTGGTTGCATTTCAGAACTGAATGTTTAAACACTGTTGCTAAAGATAATTGAGTGCTTTGACTAACAGACTTGGAGAAACAGGACTGACTAGAGCCCAAAGCTTCTGCTCCTTCCTACCTAGCTCCTGTAATGGCAGAACTTGAACTAAGAACCCTGGAGAGAATTAAGGCTGGAAGTCCTGTTCAGCTTTGGGTCCTGGATAGGTCACAATGAACAGGCCAGGCAACGTGTGTCAAATACCACAGTAGTGACATGAACACTTACGGATAGACCCGAACTTCTGGTCGGGTTTATGGACAACTTCACACGGGGAGAAAATCACACTTGGTACCTGGTACAGGGAAGTAGAAATTTGTGGCCAGGAAGGTCTCAGAGGGGATGATTGAAAGATTTCTCCACCTTTGGGTTTTTACTTCATTGTTTATCAGTGAAGTCTGAGTTCATTGGGGAAACTTCCTGTGTTTTCATCCGTTTCCTCATTTGTTTTGTAGTAAGAGAGACACACGTCAACCCCTAACTTGCCAATAGCTGTGAGGAAAAGATACCGTGCAAGACACAAGGGTTTATTCCTTCATTATGTTTATAAGAGAACAGATAGACCACTCCATCACCACCCTCTGGGAGCCTCCAGGAAGAGGGGAGCAGGAAGAATGAAAGAGGATGAGCAAAGGGAGGAGATGTTGGGTAGCCGACTATCCTGAGAGCTAAACAAACACCATTTTGAGGAGTTCAGCTGTGCCTGTTTGCAATTGATCCTCTGAGCTGGGCTTGTCGACTACTTACGTCACCTCATAGAGGGGTGAGGAGGGAAAGGAGATTCACTAGAGTATTCAGTCACCCCCTACCACCTATTGTATGTAATTTTTCCATAATTGTATGACCAAGGCAGCCCAGTCAGTCAACAGAGTCTCAAGGGAGTGAGGATTGAAAAGACAGCGACAGTTAGACAAACATTATAACCTGACTCCGGCCTGACCTGAGGCTGAAGCAGCTTTCTCTCCAGCCTGCTTTTATATCGTTCTAGGTACATCCAAAAAAAAAACATGGTCAGTTCTTAGATCAAATACAAAGTAATCAGTGAAGTAGTAAACAAAGTGATCACACAAGATATCAATCAAGCAAAGTAGTAAGCAAACGGTAATAATTAAAGCAGTAAACAAAGCCCCGCAGTCACTGTTTCTAATATTCTTATCTGAGTCTACATCCTTGTCCAAGCCCAGGGACAAATGCCAGACTCCTAGAAGCCACACCAAAAGCTCTCAACAATTGTACAAGGACTCGGGGAAGGGGCTGGAGTATGGGAGGGGCTGGGGGGCTCCATCTGTGCAGTTATAGGAAAACATCCCTACTTGATAGAGTTCTGGTGTGGCATTTTGGGAGAGAATGCCTACCCTCTAGTGAGTCACCCCTCACCCCTGCTGTATTAGGAAGCCCAGTAAACTCATTGAAGTGAACTTTGGTGGACTCATGCTTTGGTCTGTCCTCGAGACCTTACATGGAGAGTATACATTGCTTATGTTCCCCACAGGAATCTGAACATCTGCTAAATTAACCCATTCCAAACATTTTAGCTATTCATCATCAAGATGTCCGATACAGGGCCATTGATAATAAAGGCCTCCTAAGGGGACTAAAGGTAATCTGACACAATTTGGCCTCTGGACTTTCAACACACCATCTCTCCACAGTCACTGAGTTCTAGTAAGTATGCAGAAGTGTCGACACAGATGTGGCTGGCCACTTCCAGGAACTTCAGTTCTCCTTGATGAAGGGAAAACACTGTGTAGCCCTATGATATAGACTCGGCTTTTTTCGCTCCCTGAAATCTCTTTCATTGGTTTTGGTGTTTTTTTTTTTTAACATCCTTTGCCCCTCCTCCCCTTGGCATGGGGCGTCCTTGCATTCTAGCCTGGACGATATCTTAAGAGCTTTATAATTTTT